AGGATGATGCTTGTAGGTCGGGTTTGTGGTCTCAACAAATTCACCCCTTTAGTACAAAGTATGTGTACCCGAAACGCTCCATTAAGACTAAGTGGTTAGGATATTTGTTTAGGCATCGTTTTTAAGCCGAAATCGAAGACTGAAATTGGGAAGCTAATACCTGTGGCGGGAAACTGGGTGAACCCGATGAAGCAACTCCATCTAATAAGATGATGCTTGTGTCAGCCAGTTAGCTGCAATAAACCACCGAAGTAAGATCAATTTTTCCTGTTGCTGTCTTTCTTGCTTTCTTTCAATTTCCTTAAGGAAACGTTCATTCGTTAAGGAAGTAGCACTTATAAAGGATGATGTATAAGGCGCGAACTGGAGATAAAATCCAGTTCAGACGGAGTTCCACGCCTTCAGTCGATTGAGGATCAATATGGGTTCAGATGAAAGTGCTCTCCACGGGTGTATAAAGCTTACCGTCACATTATTTTGCCCGTAGCCTTAAGGATCACTAGCCTTCCTGGTAATAGGAGAGCGCGGGATCGAGTTTGTGTAGGGACCGGGCGACCCTCGCAGTATCCTTAGCCTACATGTGACTGGTGTTGGTTGCGTGACAGCGCGGAGTCCGTACTGCGTACCGGTGTACTGCTGATGCTTTTTACTTGAACTGAACAGAGTTACATACAGACTGATTGATTGATGCGCAGGGAAACTAAGGTAGATGGACACATTTTCATAGGCACAGCTAGTTAATGAGATTTGCGGTTGAAATGATTCATCAGTTACCGAAGACAAAATTCACTTGAGCAGCGGAGGCACGAGAGCACTAGTGTCCCGCGATGTACCAAACTGATCATGACGCCAACTGTAAATTAGTCTAACGAGTGTGCCCACGCACTCGGTTCAGGAGCGATGCGACCACTGGTATGGCCCAATCTACAACGTAAATACAAACTGGTCAGGCAGGTTTAGGTTCATTCTCCGAGCCGAACTATTTCGTTAAAGATGTTTCATCAGCAATCAAGGTCAATTGGTAAGTGTGTACTAAGCAAAAATTGACCGATGAGAGTGATGTTTGAACTTGGTCACTTCGACTCACGTCTCGTGACCATTGCTAGTTTACAGTTCAATCGCCGCCTCTTTTAGACTCACGTGGTGAATGACCCGCCTTAAATTCTTTTATTTGCAGTTGATGATAGATCGGGTCTAAGTCAATGCGCAGGTTTATCGAGTCCTCCGTAGAGAACCATGCCTCGAAATTCCCGTCCTCTTCATGTCTGTCACTGCCCTAGGACATCCGTCCTCTCCCAATTAAACAGGTGCACTTCTTCGTCAACGTGTGTCGAGCTACAGGTATTCTGATTCATTGCTACTAGTCAGGCACTTAGGAATCCGTCAATCGGATATGTCAATATTGTGAAACTTAAAATATCCTGGCGACGCCGCTAGTCCCATGGAACCGAACACAGAATAAACTAGAACAGAGAGGCTTTAGCTACGCAGTGTATTGAGCTTAGTGCTTCCACATAGCAGGGAAGCAGTGAAGCAAATAGTTTCAAGTGCCGGCGTGGCTTACTTGATGATAACCACTTCTGGATGCGCTATGCTCTGTGGTCATGAACACCGGATAGGGTCCATACCCTATGGGTGATCATAGATAGTTCCGATCACGCGTTATAAGCCCCGTGTCAGCCCGAAGCATTAGACATGGGGCGCGTGGTGATCGGGACCGCAATATGTTCTTTTAACAAGCACATCAAGGATGGATCAGTGAGCTCACACACTAGCATTCCAAGGTATGGAAATCAACAGGATAATGCGAACACAATGCATTGTATTGTTAGACATGCCTAACAGACGAACACACAAGTAATTTGCTGCTGGTACTTGACTCGTGCCACCCATTTAAGTAAGCATGTCGTCAGGCACGTGTGTCATAAAGGCATCAGCTGTACGCTGGTACGCGCAGTATCGGCGCTTCGCTACCGTGCAACGAACACTAGTGGCGCATGGGCTGAGAAGAAATACTGCGAGGGTCGCCCGGTCCTCCACGCAGGCTCGAACACGCGCCCTCGGATTACAAGGCAGGCTTGTGATGCTTAAGGCCACGGGCCGGCCAATATACTATGCACATGCATGATGGCAGCTACACCGTAACCCGTTCCATCCGGTGTCTTCGAATAATATCAAAGACGACCAGAAACCTGCAAGGACACGTAGTTGAGACCAGCATTCACACCAAGTGCAGCTAAATCCGATGCCGTGCACAGCACGGTGCCCATCAGTGTCCGGCAAAAATATCTCATCACGGTGGCAAATTACTAACAAAAAGCGATTGTGCGCTTGTCATTGGAAATTTGAGGTGTGTTTGCATGTGCTGTCGCTTTCGATAGATAGAGTGGGATTCGTGACCCAATGAAGGTTAGAATTAGCGAGTGTAGAAAGGGGGTCATACGACAGTTGCAGACAGACGGAACGGCATGAATTGATGGAACATTGAACGAAGGAGATAGAGTAAATGTAAAAGCGCCAGTCTGATTGACCCTACGAAAGGCGGCGTACGCTAGTGTGCTAAAGCTTTGGTTTCTTCACGTAATGGAAGCAAAACACTAATCGTCTGTGCAAGTTGTCTATGCTGAGGAGATAGGGTAAGTGAAAGTAAGTGGTTGACGGGTTTGTGGACGTGACTCGACTAAAACGGATAGCGAGAGTTCAGTAGACAGTCCAGTGCAGCGACAGTGGGTTTTCTGCACACGCCAAATGAACAACCTCAGATCCAACCACCCGCATAACATGAGTGATCGAAAAATGTCTGCTGAAGTGACCTTTGGAGTGCCATGAATGACCGCTTGTTATGCCCTGACCATCCCAGTTGGACAAATTGGGGATGAAATTTGTTCACTCAGAAAAATATTTTCCAACACACCCTTAACGGTATATATATATATATATATATATATATATATATATTTACATTAACTAATCGACGAGCGTGATTACTCTTACACACGTCAGACGGCAATGATGAATTCCCTAGTTTGCTTTACAGCCTGAGAACTGACTAATACCATCGAGAGTAATGCGTCAGCACAACGTATTGGTGAGTCACGGCCTTTTAGTATTAAAGGGAGCCAACCCTAAGGACAAGGAATAACAAGAGTTCAGACGAGGATAAAACCGATGGTCGAATATTTCAACAGTCCGGTAAAGGGTTAAAATACAATTAGTGGGCCCAACTCCTATAACACGAGGTCACGATATCCAATTGAGAGCTGAAGGTAACCACAATCCGGCAGGCCTCAGGGATGTGTTGAACGGTATTCACGCGCAAACGATCGCACGGTGAACTGAAACATTCCAGAGTCCATTGCAAATACCCTCAAGGAGGAACCCGAGCAGGAATGCACCATGGGGTCACTGGACGGATACAACAAATATACGCCAGTATGAAATGGCAAATTTAAACAGTGCCACTGGAAACGTCGATTTTTCTCATGAAGTGATCGGCGGGGACCTACGATGGTATGGGCTATCCAATACCTCCTGCACCCCGGCTCTCATATCATGGGTAAGCAAAGTAACAATGAAAGAAACAAACTTTAGCCATGCTGTAGCACTAATGATTATGTCCGTTTTCCAATTAGGTTAGGCGAGGTTAGGGGTCACCGGAGCGCCTCCGGATGAAGATTGTCTGTGCGTATTCAGAGGTTCACTAAACAAGAAGCTTTGTTGCTCGGTTATTCGATCATAGCAACAAGCAAACCACCTCTTTCGTCTTAGGTTACATCATACAGGTAGGCACCGATGACGTCATGGTTGACAGCTAAACACCGACGATTCGCTTAACGTAGTCCGCGATTAACGTGTGTAAGCATAGGTTACAATCCCACCACACGGTGGGTAACAGCAAAAGTACACCGCGTCAGAAGATTCGGTACGTGTCACAGGATGAGGCCGAGCGTAAACTACGAATAGAGAATCGTTTACCCTACAGGTACGCGAACTTGGTGCGGTGAGAAATCAAAAACACATTAAGTGAAGACACTGACGCCAACACATTAGAGAAATATAAGTTTCCATTCTCCATGATGCCCAATTTAAGTTGTAGGATTAAATGAAGGAAGGAAACGGTGCGGAGTATGTGCAGTTACCATGCGGTATCACAAGGTCTTCTATCTATGGCTAAACTAAAGCTGCAGGTGTTTTGGAATCCAACCAAAGATTAGTAGAATACAAGTTACAGTCCAAATATCGTTCTGCAATGACGACAACATCACAACCCACAAGAAAAACAAGTCGACGGATCCTAGCCATACGTAATTTGACCCATGGGGAATAGTGTTATTGTCCATGATCCGTGGAAAATAATTTTAGTAAGATACATAGACCTCCACCATCAATAACAGTAGTACGTCGCAGTGAGACCTCGCTGCTCTGTGAGCTTAGCCAGAGGTAATAAAAACAGGGTCAAAGGGAATCTAATCTAGAAGCTCCTAGAATCAAGATGTTAGCACCGTGCGGCCACAATCTGTTGAACGTCTTTGCTTTAATCCATTCCAAAAACAAACCGCAGGTAGCAACCAACTTGCTAATATGCAAAATAAACAGTCAATTGAGCTATCACAGCATGACAGCACGACATGTAAATTCTGCAATCAGGTGTAGGGTGCGTCGCAAGAACTCTAACCTAGAAAGCGAGAAGAGCCAACAACACCTAAATTAATGATCAGCGCCCCTGTTATGACAGTGATATTTCCCTGCATAGCTTACGCCATCTGATTCAAAAACAGACTTTCATTCTGGGAACTACTTATCGGCTGGGGACGCGGGTCGGCATGTTGAAATAAATGTCCAGCAGTGAATCGGCAACAGTAGGTACACCTAGACCACAAAAATCAGCGATAAAGCAATTCCAAAGGTCTATACAATTCTAGTCACTTCGTTTTAATATTCATCCCAGTAGTTCAAAGCTACATAGCTAGATAGTCAATCGATTTTCCTGTATAACTCACTATTGGCACTTTCCGCAAGATTCTGGTCGTATAGAGGCGTTTGAAAACTGTCTGTCGTTAAAATGAGGGGTGGATCGGCACCAATACAAAAGTAAATGAGAAGCATATATCCAAGAACGATGTGGAACGTGCTAGCCGTCACATCCCTGAAGGGCCAGCATATCCAAGGCGATAGCAACATACTGCCTCTTCTCAGAACTTGGCCTAGTTAACTCCACGGCCATTTGCCCACTGTCCCGAGAGCACGTGGTACCATGAGCAATGAATCGTGATTCCACTAGTAACTGTAGTGGTCAAAGCATCCACGGGAAAAATGAATCGCGCGGTCTAGCTGCTGCTTCATTTGCCGCCGACTGTTCGTCACACCCCAATTGGACGGCCTGTTTTCCGGCGTGCTTGATGTCCGATGATCGTGCACCAGACAGGCTACAGCGCGCGGAACGGTACATTGTACCGCGGCACTGAGACGATCGATAGCGCCGGACTGACGATAGCCCGTGCAGTGACACGATACACGTGTGCGCACACACGAGGAGTGCGCGCGTGCGTGGCAGCCGTTGCGTTTCACCGCAGCTTGGGAGGTGACCTTGTCAGGTTGTTTGCCAGCTTCTAAGGTCCAAAGAAAAACAAAAGCAACGCCATTGATTTGTGCATCACAAAATATAAGAGCTAATCACATGAACTAGACGACGTAATCCATGGGTGGATGGGTGATGTACTCAACCATACATCTGCCACGGTTGAGACCTTTCATGGACACATGCATCCTCACTTAATCTGTGCATTGAGGCTCGGTAGGTAGGGCTACCTAACAGCATTCATCGGTGGAAGCCTGAATGGGCTATGACTGGTTTCTATGCCTAATTGCTGTGTCCATGCTCCCCCCATAGTTGACGCATGCTGAACGGTGTATCGGGTACAATGTCAAGGGCGACATGTGGGTCGTGTTCAGTTTACTGTGCTCGCCGCAACATGTTCACAGTTGTAAAGCATTTTTGCACATCCCTGAAGTGATCGTCCCTTGCCTGATTAGAAACTTGGGGTCACTGGGCTTCACAGGAAAGAGAAATGACTAAGTTCGGACGACCACAAAGGAGGCGAGGTGCAATGGCTAGGCACACCGCCTAATATAAAGGTGAAATATAACATTCGTGAGCGGTGTCGAAAGCTCACGTGCAAACTACTAGAAGGGTCAAATTATGACCAACCAGGCAATGCCGCTCTCGTGCTAATTGTTCGGTTCAGTCAGTTATAATAATGGGCACATTTCTCTTTAAATGAGAAGCTGCATCCATATTTGGCGCAAACCAAATAGGTACAGGTAGTAACATGCTCTTGCATGGGCAATATGAATGGTGGTGACAAAGCAAAGGTATATCGTCGGTGCGATGTACAGTCCAACTGGATACTACGGTTTTTGCTGTACGGCAAAATCGAAAGCATCGTTATATTTTTCGAATTTTCCAAAGCAGTCCTCAAGCCTTTTGGCGGACATGGCTAATTGGTCGGTTGAATATTTCGGGAGGATTGTGAGGTTTTAAAAGACAACAACTGTAGATAAATAAAACGTATAAGTGAAGTAATACGGCCAGTAGTGGGACCGCCTCCTGGGGACCTGCTTCTATGCGGGTTATTCTCTCGATGGATTTCGCATTTCCATGCCTCATTTGGCCGTGTGCCGGTGTGGCTTTTAAAGCAGGTAAGCCACCACTTAACTCCTCTTTTGCGTGGTTCTTTTTGTGTATCTAGTGTAAACAGTCAAGTCACCTAACCTGTACCATCATCTGGTATTTTTGAGTAAAGCACTTTTTTATCGCCAGGGAAACAATGGCATGCTTATTATTATTATTATTGTTATTATTATTAGCGTTAGAAGCTTAAATCCGTCAACTCAGGAGATCGACCCAGTTGTGGTCAACAGTGAAGTAAAGAAGATACAAACTGTGTGCGCAAGAGAGACCGTCCAAATTGTACAGGGGAAGTGTCAAAATCGGATGACTGCTCGAAGTATCAATATGCTAAACAGTTCTGAAAAACTTCAGATTTATCATTTGCTTGCGTTCGAAAAATCCAGGAGTTGATAGCGCTGAGCAATGAGACCTGTTCTCTGATCCTGGACTGTGGCCTCCGCGACAGAATAAGTAATATGGACCATTACAGTATGCGTGTATAAATGTAACCATAAATAAAAAATAAAGGAGTGGTTTATGTCTCGATATTGCGGGACACGGACTAGGGTTAATGCGATCACATTTGTAATTGAATTGTCAAGAAAGGTTTGCGTTCAATCCGACCGAGTTTCGGTAATCGCTCCACAATTTGTTTATTGCTTCCTCCGGACAGCAAAGAGCGCTAATTAGAAGTGCGAAATAAGGTTGTTTTATAAATAAAAATGTGGTAGAGTTGGGTTGACTTTGAATTAGAGATTTTTGTCAGTTACTATATGGCGCTCGGCCCTTCCTCATACAACATGGCTATAATAACATCTATGTTTAGTATATCCTTCATTTTATTCACTGTCAGTTCCCTGCTAACTAGAGTACGAAAAACACTGTCACGCGTTCCGAGATTCTGCGGTTATTAGTTCCACCTCACTGCATAGCGTTTAAGAAGGCAATTTGATGTTAAACTAGTACTTGCATTTTTGATCTGTAACGTGCTATCTCTATTCCTTATATTGTATCTGAGGGAAGGTTGAAGTACAACCTCAATGTCTGAGTTAAAGACGCTTTTGTGGATTATACCAAACATGTAGTTTAGGTTTTAGTTTCCTTAAGCAGAGAGGTTTTATGTTCATCTCATAGCAACGATCATAGTAAGTAAGATCACCAGGGTTTCTCATTAGGCGCTTCATAAAGTAGCGCTGTACATTTTCTATTGATGTTCTATTACTTTTTCTCAGATTGGAGCATATTAATGAGCAGTATTCGAGTAGGGTACGAATACAGCTCTTATACAGGTCTATTTTGGATCCATTTAAAATAAAGGAGTTTAGTATTAGCCCTCCTCGTTTACGGGCTTTCGCAACCGTGTACTGTACCTGTTCGGCGAAATTAAAGGAGCTTCAGAAGTGTATTCCAAGATCACGAATTGGGAGACAGGTTGACAAGGCTTTGCTGTCTAGCATCAAAGAATTTGGTGCCATACTGCACCCATAAGATACACAGTTGCACTTCTCTGATGGGCGTTCTATTTTCCACTTGCTGCATTGTTTTCCGCTAGTACATGTCCGCTTGTATGTCGACTAGTGCGTTAGTGAAATTGTCCCAATCGAACTCATAGACATTTTTAATGTCATCTGCGAATACATATGGTTTGCTGTGTTTGATGACATTGAAGATGTCGTTAATGTACATCAAAAACAGGAGAGGCTCTAGAACATTTCCTTGGATCACGCCACTTGTGACTTTTCTACTCGTGGAAGTATTGCTTAGTACTTCAACTGTCTGATGCCGACCATAAAGATACGATACTATCCAAGAATGTAAATTGCCAGATATACCAAATGAATCTACTTTCTATAGATTTCCATGTGGTACGCGATCGAACGCTCAACGCATATCAAGAAATATGATGAGCAGAAGCTTACCACGAGCAATGGAACAAGTAACGAACTTTTGAAGTTGTACTTGACAAGTAATACATGCTCGAGTTCTCAGAAATCCGTGCTGGTGACATGCTCGTCCAATCAGTGCAGATGAGTGACGGTTCACCGGCCATACTTTGGCTAAGTATCGGCCATCAGCTTCTCGGCTGCTTGTCTAGAGATTTCCGCCCTAACAATCCCGCTTAACGAAGTAGCTACCAAAACACAATGGAGTCCTCGGTCTAATCTGCTTACAGGTCCCCTTTGTCTCCGAAGGACGCATTACGTATGGCAACATTCTTGCTAGTCTGGTGAATGGCGGAATGTTTACCAATTGGACCCTATCGGCATTACATCTATACGACCGCGTACTTTGGCCCTTAGGCTGCAGTGTCGCGGGCGGCCCGCTACCAGCTGCCTACACCAGGACAGAGGCGAACGACGGTGGGCAGTTGCTTCCTGATGCGTGCCTTTTGCTAATGACGCCAAAACACTGCATGAAAACCACTATTTTGGCAAACTTTCAGCACCTGAGGGTAAAATTTTGAAACAATCGTTGGCTACATATCTAACGAAGGTCATAAGCTATCTGTGCATGAATCTGCAGAAACGGTCCAAATGTCTGCATAAAATGAGATGGGTCTAATCGATCGAGAACAACCTTGGCTCGGTCTGACTTTGAATGCATGGTATACAGAGTTGTCATCACATACGGTAGTATTTGTTGGAAAATTTCGATGCCATGTTAAGCCTAACTTGGCGCAATTGCAACGGATGAACGAGTTGTGTCACTCACCAAAGTTTCCTGTGACTACCGCGTTGCCAAGTTCGCTCAACACTGGGCAGGGAAAGTTTCAGCTCAGAAAGAAACGCCTGCGATCAAGGTTTACTGCTATTCTGGTCCAACCCGCGTACCCAGTACCTTTTCTGTTTGTTGCGTTAAATCACTACTGGCTGATGCATATCGGAGATCTGGCTACCCATCTTTGTCGGTAATGCGAATCTAGGGTGACAAGAGGATGAAGCTTATGATGATGCCTTCTCTAACAACAAATGCACTCTGCCAATTATTTATCCTGGTTAACACATTATGGCTATTGTTACTTCCACCAGTGTTTCACATTTTAATGAACTGCTGTCACTGTACCGGGAGACTAAAGCTTAACCATTAATCTCATAATAATGCCGTTTCCGACACATTTGCCACTGCCTTTTATGGTGCACTGAGTGATTTTACCGCTATTCAGCTTTCCAACACTTTTCCCCACATTAGGAGGCAAGATGGGTAGGTGAAAGTAGTCAACGTTGGGCATAATGCATAATGCCCATCTTGCACCGGTCCACGTGGTTACCTGCTTACGCGTCTTAATCTTTCGCGTATGGGTGTGAGGATAGTTGAGCAGGATTGCGATGGATTCTCGCACTGAAGCCACTATCCAGTGTGATAAATGCCTACTGGCTTGCGATGGTACAGTGCCGACTGTTGTACTGGTAATCTGCACTCGATTCGTTCACATGAGCTGCATTCAGCAGACGATCACGGAATGTTCGAGTAACATCAGAGTCACAAAGTTCAATAAATGCGCTTCATCTGA